ATGCAGTAGATGGCCAGGTGTGGTAGCTCACCCCTGTAATACCAGCACTTTGAGAGGCTAAGGCAGATGGATCACTTGAGGTCAGGAGTTTGAGAACAGCCTGGCCAACACGGTAAAACCCTGTCTCTACTAAAAACAGCTTGGCATGGTGGTGGGCACCTGTAATCCCAGATAATGAGGAGGGCGAGGCAGCAGAATCACTTGAACCTGGGAGGCAGAGAGTACAGTGAGCTGAGACCACACCACTACACTAAAAAAAAAAAAAAAAAAAGCAAAGTGTTTACAGCTTTGCACGAAGTTTCCTGAAGCATACATGTATTTTAAAATATTTTCTATACTGCTATATTTACAAAAGTATTTTCCAGGTATTGTATCATATACATTTATAATATTTTTCTACATCATCAAAATAACAATCATTACTCCTAAGAGCATTTCTTAATATCATACAATATCTTGCCTTTTCTCAAATTTAGTCACTTGTTTGTATAATACCTTTTCAGCAGATTTATCTGCCTTTGTAACTAATCCACTATTGTATTCATATTCATTTAAAAGACTTTGACATATTTCTATCCTAGGTATAAAAAAATGTATTGCCCTAAACTTTTGCCACCTTTGGGTATTATTAATATTTTTGCTGATTTGTTATATTCTTTCTTTATTAGTGTTGTTATTTTTAGAGATAGAGTTTTGTTGTGTCACCCAGGCTGGCATGCGGTGATGCTGTCATAGCTCACTGCAGCCTTGAACTCCTGAACTCAAGGAATCCCCTGCATCAGCCTTCTGAGTAGTTGGGACCACAGGCATGTGCCACCACACCCACCTGATTTTTTTTGAGACAGAGCTTTGTTCTTGTTGCCTAGGCTGGAGTACAATGGTGAGATCTTGGCTCACTGCAACCTCCACCTCCCGGGTTCAAGCAATTCTCCAGCCTCAGCCTCCTAAGTAGTTGGGATTATAGGCATGCACCACCATGCCTGGCTAATTTTATATTTTTAGTAGAGACGGGGTTTCACCATGTTGGTCAGGCTGGTCTCGAACCCCTGACCTCGAGGGTCATCCACCCGCTTCAGCCTCCCAAAGTGCTGGGATTGCAGGCATGAGCCACTGTGCCTGGCCCCAGCTAATTTTTGTTACTTTTGTAGAGACAAGGTCTCACTATGTTGCTCAGGCTCATTTTTACTTCCTGTCCTCAAGCAATCCTCCCACCTCAGCCCCGCAAAATACTGGGTTTACAGGGTATCCAGCCTATGTTCTTTATTTTAAACTTAACATTGTAACCCAAGCTTTCAATTTTGATGTTAGGAATTCTCCAAAATCATCATTTAAATATGGATAGGTAATGTTCCATGACAAGGGTTCAGAGTATGCAGAGTATGGTTCTTCCTGGGGTCCCTGAGTTAGCTGTTAACAGCTTTTCCTGTCTAATCAGTAAATAAGCTTCCAGTAGTGGAACTCATGGTCAAGGATCTGCCTTCTAAGTTCATGTGTTTCTCCCTCCCCTACATCAGAATCCACCTCATTGCCTGGAGATCACGCCACCGTCTTCAGAAAAGCTGGTCTCAGTGATGCGGTTAAGTGACCTCTCTACAGAAGATGATGACTCAGGTCACTGTAAAATGAATCATTATGATAAGAAGATTGACAGTCTTATGAATGCAGTTGGTTGTCTGAAGTCTGAGGTGAGAGAGGTAGGGGGCTGGTGGGACAGCTAGTACCCTGAGGATGTGCAGAACCACCCAGGTAGATTTCCTGCCTGGTCCCTCAACGTGCCTCTGCAGGCCTTCTGCCCTCCTCTTCAGGGTTGCCCAGGGTTTCAGGTGCCCGCCTGGGGAGGGAGCTGGGGCAGCATGAGATCCCATCCCACCAAGGGATGCTCTCTATTGAGTATGCTCCTGTCCTGGTGCTCTACGTGGGTAGTCTGATTTGACTTTACAATACCATGTGAAGCTGGTGGTGGTAATGTCCTCATTATAAAGATGAAATACCTGGGAAACTAGGGCCTATGCTTTCCACTTTATACAGAGTTTAACACAAAGCCCCAAAGAGGCCAAGGAAGTTTGCCCTCAGTTTCTGTGCTGTCTCTTGGGGTGGGATATGGTAATGGAACTGGAAATAGAAGGTAGAAGTCCAAGGTCCCCAACTAGGAAGTTGGCAGATTTGTCATTAAAATCCAGGCTTTGGGCCGGGTGTGGTGGCTCATGCCTGTAATCCCAGCACTTTGGGAGGCCAAAGCAGGCGGATCACAAGGTCAGGAGTTCAGGACCAGCCTGGCCAATATGGTGAAACCCCATCTCTACAAAAAGTACAAAAAATAGTCGGGTGTGGTGGCGGGCGCCTGTAGTCCCAGGTACTCAGGAGGCTGAGCCAGGAGAATCACTTGAACCCAGGAGACAAGGTTGCAGTGAGCCAAGATCACGAGACTACACTCCAGCCTGAGGGACAGAGCAAAACTCTCTCTCTAAATCAATCAATCAATCAATCAGTCAATCCAGGGCCTGGTGCGGTGGCTCACACCTGTAATTCCAGCTACTTGGGAGGCTGAGGCAGGCGGATCCCTTTAGCCATAGAGATGGAGATTACAGTAAGCCAAGATCACGTCACTGCACTCCAATCTAGGATGACAGAGCAAGACTGTCTCAAAATAAACAAACTTATTTTTTGAGATGGAGTCTCGAACTGTTGCCTGAGCTGGAGTGCAGTGGTACAATCTTGGCTCACTACAACCTCCGCCTCCCGAGTTCAAGTGATTTTCCTGCCTTAGCCTCCTGAGTAGCTGAGTTCACAGGCATGTGCCACCATATCTGGCTAATTTTTATATTTTTAGTAGAGACAGAGTTTCACCGTGTTGGCCAGGCTGATCTCAAACTACTGACCTTAAGTGATCTACCTGCCTTGGCCTCCCAAACCCTGGGATTACAGGCATGAGCCACCATGTCCGGCTGGGGCCCTTAGTTTGGTCCAAAGCATTGGGCCGCTATAGCAATGAAGCATAGAGGAGGGACCTCCCTTCAGTGGCTCCTGCCTGCATCCCCTTGCGCAGGTCAAGATGCAGAAGGGTGAGCGCCAGATGGCCAAAAGGTTCCTGGAGGAGCGGAAGGAAGAGCTGGAGGAGGTGGCCCACGAACTGGCTGAGACTGAGCATGAGAACACGGTGCTGAGGCACAACATTGAGCGCATGAAGGAGGAGAAGGACTTCACCATGTAAGTGCCTGCCCTGCCCCTGCTCGTTTATTCCTCACCGCCAGGCAGCCCTGAACCCTGGGCAGTAATGGAAAGCAATGGAGGAGGTGGGCATAGGCACTGTGCCAGTGTCCCGGAGCCTGTTCAATAGTCACAAAGTTAATTACAGTTATTACTGATTGTGCTTATGATTCGTACTGTGAGGGGAAGGGAGGACCCCATGGGGGGTAGGTAATAGGGAACTCTTTCTGGAACAAGTGACATTTAAGAGGCATCCTGCAGGATGGTTAAGTGTTCATCAGGTGGGTGCCGGGGAAGAAAGCATGCTACTCAGTGGGAACATCTTGTGGGAATATCTTGTGGGAAGGCCCCAAAGTGGGAAAGTGTTTGTAGCTGAGAAATGGAAAGCGGGCCAGAGTGGGTGAGCAGAGGACAAGGGGGCCATACAGGTTGGCAGGGGGCCAGTTCTCAGCAGCTACTCTGAGGTATTTGCACTGAGGACATTTTGGAAGCCATGGAAAGGATTTCTTTTATTTAATTAATTTATTTGACCAGGCGAGATGGCTCATTCCTGTAATCCCAGCATTTTGGGAGGCTGAGGTGGGTGAATTACGAGGTCAGGAGTTTGAGACCAGCCTGGCCAACATGGTGAAACCCTGTCTCTACTAAAAATACAAAAAATGGCCGGGCGCGGTGGCTCAAGCCTGTAATCCCAGCACTGTGGGAGGCTGAGGTGGGTGGATCACGAGGTCGAGATCGAGACCATCCTGGTCAAC